GGTGATGGCGGGACCGGCAAGGGGCAGAGGGAGCCCTGGGCATGCACCAGGCACAGCTCAGGGGGTTTGGGAGGGGAAACTGAGGCATGACTCACTTGTTCTCCAGGACTATCTCAGGCAGCCACAGCATGTCCGGTGGCAGGCGAAGCACCTCAATGTCCCCGAACTCAGACTTGTTCCACTGCAGGCGGTAATCGGTCCAGCCCTGGAGGAGAGCATCCCCGGATCACCCCCTCACCACGCTGGGCCACCCCACTGCCCGTGCCTCGTGACATGACTGATGCCATGACACCTGTCCCTACTCACATGCTCGAGCCATACGTTAGTGGTGAGGGTCTCGTCCACCTCTTTCTGCAATAACGGTGTGGGGCAGTGAGGTGCCAGGGCCGTGCCCAGCAGCTGTCCCCTGCAGCCCAGGACCCCCAGTCCTCACCAGCCAGGGTTCAGGGCAGTGGCCTCAGGGCTTCCCCATCCCACCAGCCCTGGGGGTGAGGCATGGCTGGGGGTCACCCGGCAGTGGACACTGCCTGCTGGGGCTCACCAGAGAGATGAGGTTGGAGAGAGTGAGGGCCAGGTAGACATCCACGACCTGGTCGATGGAGATGACGGGGCGCACCTCCTTGTCGTAGCCCTTCTCCTCAAAGAGGTGGTGGATGAGCCTCTCCTCCTGGTTCACACAGAGCCCACCTGGGGTTGCGGGGTCAGGCAGAGTGGGGTGGGGCTGGGGGGTTACTGGGCCCAGCACCACCCCGCAGGGATGCTTTGCCAGGGCAGGGTGATGTAAGGATGAAGGGGACAGGAGCAGGTCCAGGACACTGCGTGTCTGTGCTGCACAGGGGCATGGACACAAGACATGCGGGAATGACAGATGTGGGGGCACATGGGCACACATGGACATGGGACAAGGACGTGGGCATGAACACAGAGGGACACACAAATACAGACCCAGCACACACAGACATGAGACACTTGGGTACAGACGCAGTGGCACCGTGCATGTAGCTGGAGGCACACATGGAGGCACACGGACACATAGACATGGACCCAGTATGTGCAGGAACATGTGACGAGAGACGCAGTGTCACCGTGCACACAGACAGGCACACTCAGGGACACATAGACACAGTGATACTGTGCCCAGACACACACATGGCCCAGGCACGGACACATCTCCAGGTGGCACAGCCAGGACACAAGTACAGGGGATGCTCAGTGATGGGAGTCTACCAGGCAATACTCGAAATGCAGCCCTGAGGACACTTGTGCCCAGCTTGGACCCTGCCACCATCATCCCACCAGATACCCCAGCAAGCAGGTAACCCTATGCCCAAGATCCCAGGACCCCACTCACCCGACAGCACCAGCGCCCCAAGCAGGGCCAGCCATGCCGGCAGGTCCCCCCTGCGGTGC